TTTGGTCATTCTAAAATTCAGAGTATAAATGTTCAAAATACTTAGCTTTGGGTCAAGAGGTATCTTTTTAATAATTTAACTTAGTATTTTAAAAGATTAACTTTGAGTTAGTGGATAGCAGTTCAAAAACACATTATTTTCCCCAATACATTTATTGTTGCTCCTCTCTGCTCCGCCTTTCTGAAACATGCCGAATTTTACAAAACTCATTGTTCTGAAAATTGCCAGCTATCCAGTGCGTTGTGATTAACCGAATACCTGAAGCGTGTGACTGAAATGTTACGCCTCTTACCATATTTGGAATATTAGCTTCCATGGCGGCGGCGGCGGCAGCAACAATACTACAGCGAGAATAAAAGGTACACCTTTGTGTTTACATTTGGGCGGTGTTATGCAGATCTTCCCACACAGTGATATAGATTTGTGGGGACATGTTTGAATGAGGCATTTTATATATGTATATTTATATTATTACATATATGTTTGTAATCTAATATGTTCAATAAAGCTAAAGCTTTTAAACTCTTTCAACAGACATACAGAAGAGAAGGCAACGACTTGTCCATGACCCATAAGATCGGCCTTGTTGAAGCACTTTGTGGTTTCCATTTCACATTGAAACACTTAGATGGTAGACAGATTGTGGTGAAATACCCAGCTGGCAAAGTCATTGAGCCAGGTGAGCCCACTTGACATGAGTTTTGTAGTGTCTGTGTTTTAAAGTGATTTGTTACATGCTCTTAAAAAATGGTGTTGTCCCTTTACAGGTTCAGTCAGAGTTGTCAGAGGGGAAGGCATGCCACAGTACCGTAACCCCTTCGAGAAGGGTGACCTGTTCATCAAGTTTGACGTGCAGTTCCCAGAAAACAATTGGTTAAGCCCAGAGAAGCTGTCGGTACGATAAATCGTACATTTGAAGTTATTGAAGAATATTATAAGAATGTTATACATGCACTACTGTTCAAAATTTGGGGATTATTATTATTATTAGGGCTGGTAATTTAATGTGTTAGTTAGATTAATTACGGAAAAAAATAACGTGTTAAAATTAACGCATTTAAAGGGTTAGTTCACCCAAAAATGAAAAATCTGTCATTAATTACTCACGGGTTTGGAACAACACGAGGGTAAGACCTTCGGAACAAATTAAGATATTTTTGAAATCTGAGAAAACAAAAATAACTTTATTCCACATTTTCGTGAACTAACCCTTTAACGCACTTGCCCCGCCCCGCCCCAGACCTATATGTGGGTCATCTAACATTCCATAAAGTTGATTGCTGACAAATATGAGGCAGGGCAACAACTCGCTGCGTGATGAATTTTAGGGACATTCCAACTATGTTCTCTAGGCTCCAAGATATGGGGCAGAAATGCTCCTGTTTGAGTTTGTCGTCTCATATTTACATCATATAGTTAAGCAATATCACACAAGTGCAAATTTGATACTTACTGAACTGTTGTATTTGTGTAAGATCAGTAAGAAGTTAATATTGTGTTTTTACATTTACATTAAGTCATTTAGCAGACGCTTTTATCCAAAGCGACTTACAAATGAGGACAATAAAAGCAGTCAAAACTAACAAAAGAGCAACAATATATAAGTGCAAATGACAAGTCTCGGTTAGCCTAACGCAGTACACGTAGCAAGGTGTGTGTGTGTGTGTGTATATATATATATAAAATACACACACAAAGAAAAATAAGCAGATAGAATAGAAAGCTAGTGTTTTTTTTTGTTTTTTTTTTTATAAAAAAAGAAATATAATGTAGAATTAAAATCGAATGGAAAGTGTTAGAGTTAGAGGGTCAAATAAAGGTGGAACAGATGTGTTTAGTCGTTTCTTGAAGATGGTTAAGGACTCAGCTGCTCGGAATGATTTGGGCAGGTCATTCCACCAGGAGGGAACAGTTAATGGAAAAAGTCTGTGAAAGTGATTTTGTGCCTCTTTGAGATGGCACAATAATACGCCGTTAACATTTTAGACCCAATGTTGTCTGTTTTGCTCAATTTTGGCAACCAAAATATAAAGACAAAGTAGAATTGTTCATCTCCGAGCAACACGCAGCGATATTATATTTCTTAATGAATGAATTGGGTGAACGATTTGGCGCGTTGAACCATTGGCCATAGGCGCGTTGGATTTGAAGCGGCGCTACACAGATAGATCGGTGTATGACATCAAAGTACCACGAGAGCGATTCAAAAGCATAAGGAGCCATCTGCTCTCTATAGCTCTTGCAGTACTTTGATGTCACACACCGATCGGTCTGATGGTGATGATCCGCTTCAAGTCGAACAAGCCTAATGATTCAATGGACCATTCATAAAGAACCATTTACTTCACTCCTGAATGAATCAGCCTTTTGAACGAATCGAATGCATAAATGACTCTGACTTAATCATTAAGACATTTACCACCGCCTACTGGCAGTTTGTTTATTATTTTGAGTATTATTTCATTAAAGAAATCATTTCAAATTTCCATAGTAATAATAATACATTTTATAAAATAAATTATTAAAGTTATAGTTCACCCAACCAAAAATGACAATTGTGTCATCATTTACTCACCCTCATGGTCCAGAAGAGTATATGTAATAAATTTGAGCAAACTAAATATTTTTTGCTAAAACTACTTTTTGTAATGTCTGTTCGATGCTTTACACAACAATGACTTTAACAACAATGACTTTATTATCTTTTGGGAGTAATTTCTCCCAATTTGATTTTAATCTAAAT